ACCTTGTGTGGTGGGCACTACTGGCGGAACCGTGAGGAAGAGCACGTCGTCCACTTGGACCGCAGACTTGGACTTGATGACGTCGTTCCTGTCCAGTTTCCGATGGAGTAACACGCGATGGTTCACCGTCGGCTTCGTGTGCTTCTTGTCGTCTGCGTCTTGCGTAGGCGTACTGGCACGCGTCACACGGTCGACCAGACGCACTTCGATCTAAATAAGAAGTTACTTCTAGTTCTAATAAGAATAAGAAGATCTTACTAGACTCTGTAAGTGAGAGTCTAGTAAGCAAAATTGCAAAAAGCTTAGACGCTTTCTGGCAAATGTAGAACGGAGGAGGTAAGAGTTTAGAAAAGGATGGGAGCGGGAAAACAGATTCTCTTCTTCCCGTTTTCTTCCCTCTCTCAAGAGAACCGCCAGGATTGCCATTTCCGATAATGGACGAACGATATGTGGGCGTAACGGTTTAAGAGTGCCCGCTTGCGGACCGAACGATTGCGAACCAGAATGGTTGAGGATACCATTACCATGCGTGACAACGTCATGGATTAAATTGTGTGGTCCTCAATCGTTCCACCTTTTAGGGGTTCTAAATCGCTCGACCCTCAGTCATTCTTGTTCTCGGTCTCAAATCATTGGATACCGGAAGAAGCTGTCGGAAGATCTAGACGGGACTATGATAGCAGCTGGTAATTCGAAAGAGAAGCAGCGGGTACGCATGATCAGGAGAGCAGGAAACGGTAGGAATGAGGTATAATGCCGACATATCCAAGCCTGTAGCACACACTTACATGATCAATGATATGCCTCGGATGCCGATTGTCCACCGTCACTGTGCCGATGATGTTCTCGCCGGGTGCGTACGCCGATTTCGGCAGGTTGATGTGTGCGGTAACCTTGCCACGACAGCAGCAACCGCCGAATGCGAACGTGTCTCCGACGTGCACGCCCTCGGTCTTCGGCGGAAGCAGGTGACGGAGCTCAGGCGGAGCGACCACCGTGAAGCCCTTCTTCGTCATGTACTGCGTCTGAATACACGTTGTTATCGCATGGACGAAAGGTGATTAACGTACCGACTCGACTTCGTCTGTCTGGAGAGTAACTCGCGCGAAGTAGCGAATGAACGCTTGCGGACCCTCGTAGCTGGTCGGGCATCCCTTCGGTAGCGGGCACTCGAAGGGCAGCGAATACGGGAAGCTGGCGTTCCACGGGAAATGTCCCGGTTCCGGATGACCTGGTGGTCTTTCCAGGAGAATGAAGTCCTTGTCAAAGTAAACCTAAAACAGCAGTGGGCTTCGTGCTTCTCTTAGGATGGCACTTACTTTCTCAACCTCCGCACCCTTGTGCGAATCGCCCACCCAACATGCGCGTCCTTTGAACTGCAAGCGGATCGCTCTGATCGTGATCTGCTGCTTCAGCTGCACTCGCAGCGACCCGGTGATCAGCTCGCCGCCGTGAAATATGGGGTCCGGACCCGCATCGAAGACGATCTCGAACTTCTCGAACACTTCCTCGGGAGCAAGGCCCGACATGACCGGCAAGCTGCTAGAGCAGGTCAGAGGTAATTTTGATGAAGAATTAGCAACCTGAAGAATGCAAAAATTAACGAAAAGAATCGTAGTGCGGAACTAATCAATTTCGCGTATCCTAGGCAGACACGGATTGCCCGCGCTTACAAGCACAAGAACGCAACAAATTAGTAGCGGCGCGGCCGTAAACCCGTATCGAGCAACACACAACGGAGCAATAAAACACAGTGGAAACCGAAAACACGACCGAACGAGTGAAAAACGCGTAATGTTTGTCGGGGAATGCTAGCAGCGGGACGCACTGATAAGGGTTGCGCTGCTGCTTCACAAAGGGCTTTATCTTAGTCGAACGAACGCCACCGAGGTATTCAGGAGCGGGTAAAGGCCGCCGCGTAAACAAATGGATGCTTGGTGGGAGTGGGAAACAAAGGAGCTACCAGGGAAGCACGTTGACTGCGAAAGCGTTGTTCTAATGAAAATCACTTCCCTAAGAACCAAAAAGTAAAGGTTGAAACCGTTTAGATAAAGGAGCCGAAATGTGGAGGATTCAGGAACGCTGAGGGGTAAAGCCGCGCCTGAGGTCGGCCTTCAAACTTGGAGTTGGCGAATTTGGAATATTTACTGCGGCTTCTAGCTGTTTAGGTCCCCGTGTTTTAAGTTCCGCTGCTTTGGGCCTTTGTAGCAATTAACCAGCATACGCGTAAATCTTCCTCCCCTGTAGTGGTCGAGCCCAAACTATTGGGAATATCCTAAGCAAAATAAGACTACTGAGTAAAAATACGCAGTGCGCGAAGTACATTAGGGGTCATTGGCGCCAAAATAAAGGGGACCCAAAACATGCGTTGCTATACGGCAAACTTGCAGTAACCAAAAACCATATTAATTCACCGGCTCAGTGACACCGCTTCTCGGAGCATTGTGGACGACCGCTCTCGCAGGAGTGCGAATTAGCCAAATCCGTGCTCTCGACGTGCGCACCGCAAGCGTTGGGACAGTCGAGAACCGTGCGGCGTGTTATTCATCATAAAACCGCAACCGCACGAACAATAGCCGTGGCGGCGGCGGCTGTGGTGAGCTTAAAGCGCGGCGGTATGGAGTCATTTGTCTCCAGCGTACGCGCCGACAATCGGACAATATCCATCATCACGGAAAGCGGCGATGGTGGTGAAAGTGATCGCGAGAATTATCCATCCCGCACAACGCGACACGACCAGCGCAGCTCGCTACTGCAGATGGGATTGCGGTTGGCTGGAGGGAGGTGGTGGTGGTGGGAATGATGGAAACGCATATTAATACGAAAGCGTTTCCGAATGCACAAGCGCACGCGAGGAGGAGAAAGTGTTTGTCAAACAAATCGGCGAGCGCTGGAATGGCTTCCAGGTTTACGTGGACGACGATGATATTGTAAAGCACGCAGACGTTGGGGATCTAACGGGTTACGTCGACGAAGGAGAACAGTTTGCGGTACACATGCGCAAAGGTCCCTAGAAGAGGCTCGACAAAGATTTGCACGACCGCCCGAACGCGATCGGTCCGGAAATAACCGCGAGGGCCAAAAAAGCGCCTGGAATGGCTCTGACGGAGCATGTCCAAAGGTCCAAATTAATCACGTACACGAGCCAATTTGGTCGTCTTTAATTACCCCCATAGACGCCACATCCGATCAATGCATAGCGCTCGAGAGTCCTTTCGGAGGAGCAATCGACCCGCGACGGGTCAAAGGTTGAGCGTCGAGGGCGGAGTGATTTTCCTCACCCGCTGGCTAGCCGGGATCAATTCGTTGCCATTTGTCGCGGCGCGGCTGACGCTCCCGGTCCCTCGAGAGCGGCGGTAAACTATCCACTCGGGTGGGCAGCTTCCGAACGGTGGAGGCTATGGGACGCAGGCAGATTTCCTCCAGATGTGTGTGAGAACCGATGGGCTTCTTCCTTCTCGCTGGCGGCTCTCGATCTCCCCACGCTTCGCGAGCGCTTCTTCTTCCTGCCTCGCTGCCACCGCGGGCTGGCAACCGTCCAGTGGCGAACAGCCGCATGCAGTTAGACGCGTTCGGAAAGCGGAAGAGCGCAACGCGAACGGGAAATCGGACATGTGTTCCGTGGAAGTTATTGCGGTAGTGCGAAAGAACGAGACGATAGAAAAACAGAATGGCTGATGCACCTCACATTTGCATATGTTTGGCGTTCGAAGGAAAGCAGCTCATAGACACTACAACACTCAGAGACGTAAGAGCATTCCGGGAAAAATACAGCTCATTCGGGGGTCAACCCTTCTCCTTAAGAGACAGGGACCGATGCGCCCGCTTATAGACAATATCAATATTCATTCATAGGCGCGCCCGGTCGAGAGTCAACAAGGACGCGCGGCGCAAACGAACTTTTTGTTTGCCCTGCCGTCATTAAGGAGCGCGTCGCGAACGGAAAGTGAAAACCGACGCCATCGATAAAAAATCCGAGAAGAGTGGACCCGGGCCTTTTGCGTCCCTATGATGTCCACAGAGACTCAAGTGCACGAACATAAATGTGGCACGCTAAGGAGGATACTGGAAGTACGAAGAGTGGGATGCGAAAAAGGTTTGCATAACGCATTCGCACCGAAGCGCGGTAAAATACTTTGGTCCATGGCAGGCAAATAACGCTAAAAAGAGTCATGAAACTTCCCGTCCGAAAATTGCGCCCAAGCGCAAGCCAAACTTCGTATGAACCTTCAAAGCTAAGAACGAATTTCAACAAAAAAAAGAAAGTCGGTGAGATGCAGTGCACATATGCGCAGGTAGGACGCAGTTGACACAAATACGAACCTCCCAAATCGGTAGTAACTGAACGAGAGTCCCGCGACGCGTGGATTCCGTCAACAACTGCTACGCCGCGCGAGCCCTGCCAAAAGTTCGATGCGTGGGTCCCGCGCTCTGAATGGGACAGTTTTGGCCGCCCGCCGCCGCACGTTGGATCACCCCTCAGCACTTTGAGGAGAGGCTGGCGATGGGTGGGTGTGTGAGGGTACGCACTTTGTTGGAATGTGCACCGCGCGGAGAGCCACGCTTGGGCCGGCCGCTTGCGCGCGGCACAAAAAGTCCGGAGAGCGGCGAAGAGGAAGGCAAAGGTCGCCTAGGGTTGCGCCTCTCCGATTCCGATCGGTCGGCCGCCCGTCCGCAGTGCGAAGGTAAGGCGCCCAATGCGACTTGGGCGATGTCCCACTGGGCCGCTGACGGGCGGGAGGAGACGAAAGAACCGGTCAGGAAAAGGGAAAACTACTCGCACAACCGATGGGCGGTATGCATCCGAGTGCCGATTTTCGGCACCTTTGTCGACTCGAGAAGCGCATAATCGGACGCGACAGGCAGTCAACGCTGGAAACGATAAGGACAGTGCATACTTGCGCGTTTCTGAACGCGCACCAAAACCGAAAGCGCAATACTTTTCCAAAGACCTAAAATTGCCAAAAAGGTAACCGCATATAGCAAAACAAAAAACTAGTTGCGCCTGGCGGGATTCGAACCCGCGCCATCAGCTTGGGGGGCTGAGATGCTATACCACTACACTACAGGCGCCACATGGACCGGTTGATCTGAACCCTTTCATCCGTTGATCGAATGCCGCCTACGCTGGCCTCGTTGTTGTTGTTCGGTTGTGTAAACGAGCAATATGCATTTGACGCCGGCAATGACACTGTGCTGCGTAGGCACAAACTGAGGCATTTTTCAATCCAAAAATGTAGAAATTAAGCCAACGGTGTTGATGTTGATGGGTACTTGGAACCCACCATGCACCTCCCGGAAACGTCCTAAGCTTGAGCAAAGAAGCCGATGGATCCAAAACTTGCTCGATTATCAACCAGTCCTCCTTAAAAAGACCTACAGTCCATGTACGTCCAGAGAAACCATGTAGGCCCATAGCGACAACGGAGATAAATGACGCAAGTGTGACGCAATTAACAGGGGAACGGAATTGAATCCCAGTGTCTCTCGCAGTCACCTTCACGCTTTCACGTGTGCACATGTGCTGCCATGACCTACCTATATTTGTTGCCATTTCGAATCCCAATAGAATTCTACGTCGCGCTTTTCTGACGCATGCGGTGCTGCGCGTAAAGCCGACATGGCCACAGCAGGTCGTAATCCGGAATACGCAATCTACAGGACATTAATCCGCGGCAATTTCTCGGTCGCACGCTGCGAGCTTAATCCCCCTCCACGCTCGGGAATTGCCCTGCCCGACCTCGAGAACGATCCTGCACAAGAGAATCGCATCGATTTGGACCGAAATGGAGTGGTATTGACACTAAAAGTATTGTACGACGCGCTTGACAAGTGAATCGTGTTGACAGTGACAATGCGCATGGTTACGGGATGTGAAACCGGTTCCTTACGCCGACAAACGGGAGGGACGTAGCCGGAAAGTCGACGTNCCCCCCCCCCCCCCCCATGCACCTCCCGGAAACGTCCTAAGCTTGAGCTATGAAGCTGAGGGATCCAGAACTGGCTCGATTTTACCTTGGAAAAGTGTTCCTTGGAAAAGGAGGAGTCCCTTGTACAGCTGAACCATGTAAGCCTCTATCGCAGTGGCGAAAACATAGATGAGTGACGTAAGTGTGACGTTATTTCTCTGGGGAACGTAAGTTACGTCTACGCGTGCACAGGTGCCGTCGTGACCTTTGTTGCCATTTCGAATTCACCAGAAACCTGCGTCGCGGTCTTCTGACGCATGCAGCGCTGCACGACAAGCCGACTTGGTCGCAGCAGGTCGTAATCCGGAATACGCAATCGACACGACATTAATCCGCGGCAATTTCTCGGTCGCACGCTGCGAGCTTAATCCTACTCCATGTTCGGGAATCGCCCGCTCCGACCTATGGGAATGATCCTCAACACAAGAATCGCATCGATTTGGACCGAGATGGAGTGGTATTGACGTATTGTACGATCGCGCCGTGACAAGTGAGTCGTGTTGACAGCGACATTGCGCATGGTTACGGACGTCAAACCGGTTCCTCCCGCCGATGAACCGGAGGGACGTGGCCGGAAAGGCGACGTAACGACGTGAGTGAAACGGAAAATGGCGGTAAAAAAACGATATCGAAGAGCTGTCCTGTGCGAACTCAAAGTCAACCGTTAGCGAGAAGAGCAAGCACAAGCGTTTGTACTTTATGGACACCGCACGCTGTTTTGGAAGAAGCCTCGGACGCTAGGTCAACTGACCTGAGGTGACGTTGCAAAACGCAATGAGTCGCCGCCTGGAATTGCGAACCACTATCCGGCCATGTGCCACATAACAAACGAGGTAGCTAGCGCGTTACGGACTCTCGCAAATGGGAGACTAAAGGTGACATATCCGTCGCGGATTATGAGGACCCATCAGCCGCTGGTGTTGTGAAATTCCATTGTTTTGGTTGAGGGCAGACAGGTTTTCAGGGATGGTGATTCATGGCCGTTTCAAGGAGCAACTTCGAGCGGGTGAGTGCAGGTTTAATGGGGACATTAATGGAAATGAAAAAGGTAAGGTAAGAACGTTCGGCCCCTTTGAAATCTTAGTCATAGATTCGGTAAACTCTGGACCCTAGCTCACGAAAATATGCAAGCTCAACTTGTAATTATGAGATCCTGCCGGCCGCTGCCTACGCAACGAACGAAGCCAATAAGCCTTTCGCTGCCGGACAAGTGCCACTAACCGCGTGCGCAAGAGAAACATTAATTTTCCGGCAAAGGTGCTGCCAGCAGTGGAACAGTGGCGCATGGTGGCATGGTTCATGCTACAACGACCTTTGCCACATTCGGGCGGGCCAAGCGGTGGTAGAGGTCATGCGGTTGCTCGAAACAAACAGCCCAAGCTTTCGGCTAGGGGATAGAGAGTGCAACCGGAATGGAATCATACGCCTCGGTGAGCCAAGCACGACTTGGACAAGTCGCTACAAGGCGGGCAAGAGGACATCGAGTTCGCGCATGCTAAGCAATATGTTCAGCTTATCAAGGTTTGTCTCAGCTTGCAGCGAAATCAAGAAGGGTGCAGACCAGAGATCACTTGTTGTACGGTCACGATTTTCGCCGTCATCGTCCCTTATCCGCTGCGACCGACGTTGGGCCTAGTGGACACGGACGCGAGTAAATAACCGCGCTAAGTGTCCATGGGAAAACGCCAAGTGGTCCGGAAGGCGTCAATCTCAGTCGACCGAGCCACCAATGGCCCCACTATGCCACTTGAACTTGACCGTCGTGAGCAAGTGACTCTTGAACTGCGCGAATGCGAGGTTGCTTGGAACGCTCCCTTCATCGCAGGCTGCCGGGATTCCATCGTTCTCGAGGGGTTGTTTATCGCCTTGCGCAAAACCAGTGCGCATCGACGACTGTCGATGAAATCGCTGCAAAAACTTGTGGTCAGCTAGGGTGTAGCAAGTTTACACAGGTAGTTCGCGGCATTACAAGCGATGTCAAGGAGCAGCGAGGTGGTGAGATATCTAGGTTAAGCTGGGCCATGCATTCTGCATTGGCGAAGCCTAGTCTTCGACACTACTTCTGCGGCTACCAGGTAAGTTCGAACAAGAAACGAATAACAGGATCCACTGCAGCCAACCCGCAAATGAAGCATGCACCAGAGAGATTATAAGGTGCATGCCCAGCTCTAGCAACTTATGACATATTGGTTTGAGATCATATTGTGCGTCTCTGTTACACACAAAAAAACAACGTGCGGCTTGCTTAATACGATTGTTGCGCGTCCAATCAGCTGGAACCGTGCTTTCGCAACAAAGTTGCTTGCGATGCCTCGTCACGCAAGCCAATAAGCCGTAAATTGGTTTAGTTTCACCTCCGAAATCGCGTCTAACTTGGCAACGTCACTCGGTGGGGGCTCACGAACGCCATGGGGCGTCTACTAGCGAAAAAAAGGGAACCGCTTCGTCCAGCGCGCTTCGTCCTTAATTCCGACGCTCCTGCGACGCGCGCGCTTTCGCCTTCGTGGATCCACCGGGAGGGACGACTTCATTAGCGGTAATTGAGGCGGAAATGAGAGTCGTGGTCCGAACGCGACGGGCCGGTAGAGAAGAAAACATGCAACGTGAAACGGAAAGATGCTCCTCGCGGGCTTACAAACAGCGCTAATTTGGCACCGATGAAGACACAGTGGGAATTAGTTTGGTGGAACATGATTGACTGAATGAAGGAAAGGCTGCGAATGAACGTTCGGCAATGTACGACTTGCTTAAGTTGAGCCGGATGCTCAAATCCTTCAGGATATAGTGACATGAAACGATCATACTTCTCACCAAAGCATATCTGAAGAAAGTCTAGTCAAACTTCGACTTCCTAATGACCGGAAAGGCTTGGCTGGGGACTAGTCGTATCCGAATTATGTTGTTATGTCCAAAGAGGGCAAGAAAGGTGAAACAGACGTCTTCTAATACAGCGCTAAACGGACGCATAAAAATACGAAGAGCTCATTCCTTGCATTACGCATAGCACTAGACCACTCACGTGGACCGTATTCGTGCCCGCTCTTACCCATCAGCGCACGCAAATGTGCACTTAATAGGCTTCGTTCTCCTCCTGCCGGAGTCCGACGGCGGGAATGGGATAATCCGCCGCGTCCGACACGGCTTCCTGGCCGGCGAACGTTTCAAGCGAACGTCGGTCGAGAAGTGGTCGCCCGACGGCACATTCGACAAGGTTGTTTACGGCCAGGCGCCGTCACCCATATCCACGGACGCCACTCGGATGGGAGTGCGAGCCCACCTCACGGGTGCATCCCAGCGGAAAGGAACACCTCCGAGGGCTAGCGGCCAAAAGTGGCACACACAAACATGCGCAATGCGCTGAAGTGGCGGTGTGATGTCCGCCGCGCACACACGCGTTTCCGAGACCGCCAAAGAGAAAGGGCATTCCGCGCGAACCGACGAAGTCGCAAATATTCCCGGGCCACTTTGAGCGCAAAATAAGTGGTGGAATAATTATGTTTACTACGGTTGATGCGAAATGAAGATCTGCCTCTAAGTGCAGTAAATAAGTAGTGTCCTTGTAGTTTGCACCAACAACTCTCGGGCCTCGCAGCGATGAATAAGATGAGGTTGGACCTATCTTGAGCAAGACATCACTCGGACCAGATTTCACTTTTCCCTGCCCCTGGCAATTAGTATTCCTCCACGCAAGATGAAGACTGCTATGAGATCAGCACAACGGAACGGGAGCGTATTCCCTGCGGGGCTCTTAGTCACCCGTTCAAGGACCCCACTTAGTTAAGACGTCAATGGACGCATGGCCGTCCTCTTGGAACATCTGCCGCCCGTTCGCTTAAGAGGCCAAGATCGAGTCGCGATATAAGCGAAGGAGAATGGATCGGAAGTACGGCTTAGACTGAGCAATTCAGAAAAGGAAAACAAACGCATTTGGGATGCGGTAAAGGAGAAAGTGCGGGACCTTGGTTTAACTTGAGTTTATGCGACTTGTCATAATCCAGATTGGCCATCTCTAACCGAACCATTCGAATACAAAAACTTGGCGTTCCCGATTGCTTGTTATCGGTTCGAATGATAAATTCGAATTGAAATCATAACAGTTTCGGG